CGCCTCATCCTGGTGGGTGGCAGTCGCGTGGGAAAGGAGCTGGATGCCCGCAGCCTGAATCGCAGCAGTGTTCTCCAGCAGGAAGCAGGGAGGGAGAAATAGTCCCTGATTCAGCAGCACCGAGCCCGATGCATCCGTGTGGGAATCCACATCGAACCCTGGCGCTGTCTGGCATTCACTGCGTGCTCTGCTGGCCACCAGCTACGGCTTCCCCCGTCCTGGTGATGGGAGATGCACTTTGCAGTGAGTCAGAGGAGAGACTCGCCCAAAAACAGATTAACAGGGAGCCCGGCAGAGAGCAAGGTGAAGGAGCTTTGCTGTTAACCAGCCTGTATCCGCACGTCTGCTTGCTTTAAAACTGCCTTTCCTACACTCCTGATCATCCTGGTACCGGGGGAAAAAATTGTTCTTGGTTTCTGGCTAGTTACACAAATTTTTCTTTCCTTGTGTCTTTTCCCTTAGGTACAAATTAGAGGGCAGTCATTACATCCAGTGTCAGCTTAAAGGAACCGATGTTGAATGGAGTAAACTTCCAACTTGCGAATGTAAGATTAATCCAACCTTACTTTTGACTTCTCTCTGGTAGACCCTGCACAGTAACGTCTGGTCTAAACCTGCCCCCCCCCTGCTTCTTTTGGTCTTGTTGATGTTCTGTGGCGGATCCATCACTAACGCTGCAGCTGGGAAACCCCCGTTTGGCTGCTGACACTGTGTTTCAGCAGTTCTGTTCCCACAAGATCAACACATTTTCTCATGAGTTAAGGTTGCAGTGAAGGAAGAAATTTTGAGGACTCATGAGCCAGGGCATGGCAAGTTGCCTGTTTATTTTGTGACCCTTGGAGTGAGAGGGAGAAAGATGGGAGAACAGAAACACTTCTGAGAGGAGAGAGATGATTGAGACAGAAGGCAGCCCTAGTTACCCATCTTCGGTTGTCCAGAGGGTTTATTGCCTTCAGGAATCTTAGGTGGACTCAAGAAACATTTTGCATTTTCATTATTACTGAAGCTTTTTGCAATATATGTTGACCTTCTTTCCCCCAGTAATTACTTGCTCATCACCTCCTCAAATTAGCAATGGAAAGCACGATGGCGAAGGCGTAGAAAAATTTGTTTATAACGCAACAGTGACTTACAGCTGTGACCCTGGCTTCCAGCTCGTTGGAAATGGGAGCATCCATTGTACGAGCAGGGACAAAGCAAACGGAGTCTGGAGCGGAGCTGCACCCGAATGCAAAGGTGATTTCATCTGCATTCAGTATGTAGAATGAGTTCAGTATTTAGTCTGAGTTCAGTATTTAGTATGCCCCAGCTTGACATATTAGGATTGCTTAGTACAGGTCATGTCAAGTGCAAGTCATATTGCAATTTTTAAGAGAAAAAATGCCGTGCTGCCGAAGTGAGTACGGAATAAATGGTCTGTGCAAGTAAGGCGTAATGCTCCTAGCAATACTTATTCTTTATACCCTAGAGAAAAGCACATCTGTCAAACTTGGAGCAAAAGCAATGGAAAGGAGCCCTCCTTCCCAAAGTGAGTTGAAAGGATTTTGCACTGAATCAAGTCCCACGTTTCCCAACTTAATTTGCTCCTTTATCGCACTTCTATGAAAAAGCCGTTGGATTAATGTCACACCGTGGTTTTCATTCTCGCAGGTTCCCGTGGAAATGCCATCCAGCCACCTAAGAAGGCTTTCACACAGGAAATGAAGCTCAAACTTTATAAAAAGTCACTCCAAAACATCAACTCCTTCTCCCATTCTTCCTTCTCCAGGACACCAGGTCAGTCCTGGAGGCTCCTTTGGAGCTCAGGGGCGCTCATCAGTGGGACTCCCTGGGTGCTCCCAGTCCTACACCTGGAATATTCTTTTTTTCCCATGTTGCTCTTCAGTGTCAAGGGGCTGCGCAACCTCAGCGTTCAGGTTTGTTGTACCTTTGTACAAAACCCAAACCTACTATTCTCCTGGGACCAGCCAAGGATCCATGTGTGTTCCTAAGTACATGGGGATCTCTGGCATCCTCCCCCAAGCCAGCTGCTTTGAAAACTTAAAACGGTCTAAAGTTGCATCACTTTGTGGAAGTGAGTCACTTTTTTGTCTTGTTCTCTATTCTGTAAGTTTTCTCTGTAATATTTATATTTTTCACTGGTTGGGCATCTGGTTCAAAGCTCAGGTTTGACTGCGCGGACCCCCTCCTCTTAAAAAAGCTTTGCTTTGTATGAAACGTATTTTCATTTGTAAACTTTTTCCTTGCCCTCGAGTTATTAGAGGTTTTGTTTAACCCATTGAAAAGCAAGAGATAACTTCATACCCCGTAGCCTTTAAGAGTGCTGGGGCTTCGGTCCTCGTTCCAGCAGCGAGAGGCGATGCACTAACGCTGACCTTGTTCCATGCTAGCGAGGTCGTGGGCAGCCAGGAGAAACCTGACATGGCAGAAGTGTTGTTACAACAGATTTCCCATCCGTTGCAAAGGATTATTTTACTCATAACAAGGGTGAGTGTCCGTTGTGTTGGAAACGGTGTCTGGGTAGGAACCATAAGCGTGTAACTGTAAGACCCACGGGAGGGTCTTGCTACCCAGCTGGAGACTGGATGAAAAGCGTTTCTCTGGTGTCAGGCTGAACTTGCCCACCCCTGAGCCACCTCTCTTGGGTCAAACCCACAAAATCTGTCGCCCCTGTCATGGTGGACTTTGTGCGTGAACCCGCACAGCCAGGGCTGCTACACAAATGTGACGGGGCTGGTGCTTAAGCCCAGGTCCAGAAATGTCCCCATGCAGGTGCAGCATGGCCAGGAGGGATTTTGCCCATTGCTGCCTCATTTCTTAAAGGTGGGCTTTGTGCCAAGCTGTTTAGCATCGCCAGGCGGGTGGCCGTGACCGAGACCCCGAGGTATTTGTCTGGACTGTTAAACAAGGAATCAAGAGTCCCAGTTGTGGGGTTAAAGGCAGGGTAACGGGGCTGCGTGGTCGGGCACCTGTGGAAGTGTACGTAGGAAAGACGTTGCAGTGGTATCGGTGTATGGAAAGGGCTCCAAGAAGGGCTTTGCAGGCCTTAAAGGAGATGAAGTTTGGTGACGTTGGGCCCTTGGTAGGAACAAATGAAGGCAAGAAGCATCTGAGGTCATACAACATAGAAGGAAAGGGGAAAACGTCATCTTTTTTTTTTTTTTTTGGCCTAAAAGTTTCTACTTTGCTCTACTATGTAACTTCAAAACAAAGAAGGATTTTTAAAAAAAACCTCTTCCACTTGGTTTTTCTTTTCTTTTACTCTTTTGTCATTATTGGCACTTCTTCAGGAGCTCGCGTCAAAGCAGCGGCTTGACACACGATCAAACGTGTGAGAAACGCCGCTTTGCGTCGTACGGCAGGAACTTGGCTCTTCTGCCCCAAAACACAGCTCCTGTAAAACTGGCTCCTTGGTACCAGAATGCTGGAGCAAGGGATGAGCCGGGGGAAACGTGGAATGGTGCCCGAAAACAGGCTCTAGTGTTTGAAGGAGGAATTGGTTTGGGCCTTTCTGAAGTGCAGTGCTAAAAATCACCCCCAAACCGGGTGGGTTTTTAAAAGTCTGGGCAGAAAGTTTAACTCTCCTTGAAATGACCGCTGGGCTAATCTTCATGTGACCATTTCCTTCCCCCAGGCTGCTTATATGGCCCATGGGAAGTGCACGGCAAGATTTACCTGTAGCTTTGAAGCAGTTTATTTGTGGCGGGGCTGCTCTCCTCCAGCGACACCGTGACAAAGGGACCCCCGTGGAAGAAACCCCAGAAGGCAGCATTTGCACTTTTCCTTGCACGGTTGCAAAGACAACTGGAAGGTGCTGCTCTTCCCGCCATCTCGCTGCAGCTGTAGCCAAGACACGCAGTTAAACGGGATCCCACCTGCCTAAAGATATTGTTATATTTTAAAAAAACCTCAGCACTGTAAGCATAAGGCATGCAGACCCTTCGCTGTAATGCATGCAAACCCTTCGCTGTGTTCTGTTCCTAACGTGCCCCATGCAATGGTCGTACTCGTTAGGACTCTTACACTTTGCTTCAAAACAACAAATAAGCCAGATCAGGTCTGTCCCATCTGCACGTATAAAATGTATTTTTTTAAATTGGGATGTGTTTTAATGTTCCTAAGAAAACCAATTGAAAATCACTTATGCAAGAATTGGCTAATTGCCATAGCTGCTTCTCCCGTCGGAGTTTTTCTCTCTTTCAGTAATGTCCTCCTAACATCCCGAATCCAGTTACGATCCCCTGCTGATCTGACCAGCCCTTTTTCCCAGCTGGGGTTGAGAAGCTGCAGTTGCTCAGAAACACCTCAGGCCTTCTGCAGAATTTCTGACGGAGCTCGGTTTTGACACACCCCGTGCGACTCGGTGTTTCCACAACCACGTGTTTGCATGCTCGCTAGCAACGCTGACCCACTGCCATAACAAGCACCGTAAATACAGCCCCACAGGACTGGCTGTAAAAGACCCAAATTTCTCTGCTGGGCTGAGCTGCTCCCTTCACTTACCAGGAATTTCTGGCATGCGTGGTCTGGTTGCAGATCCACCCATGGTAGCTGCCAGCAGGGTTGCGTTGCAAGCAAAATACTGACTTCCCTGTCTTGCATAGTTATATGCTTATTTATTTTAGGAAATTGTAATCAACACACTAAATTAAATGTCGATCTTTGTATCTTCAGTACTTTAAGCAACTTCTTTAGCAAAAGCTTTTTTTTGTACCGGACACAAATCCTTTGCAGTTTGTATTTCCGTCCGGACTACGTGCGTGACAGCAGCCATGAGTGGTTTGCATGTCTACGAATCTCGTATCGTAACGAAGCAACTTCTGCTTTCCAAAGGGAGGAAGGCAGCGCTGTAACGCTGCCACCACATCGACTGCGTGCAGACACAGAAAAGCAACTGCTAAATATTCTCTGTCGTGTTGTCATGCTGCAACGGAGCCCCTGGCAAGGGCAGGTTTGTGTTGCTGGCTGCTTACCATCCTATGCAGAACACGAATTGCCTTGTATTTAGGTGCCTTTCTGGGTCTTTATTTACATTTAGTAATAAATGGTAATTGTTTATAGCCTGTGATTCAACTGCCTGCTGTTCCCTTTTCCCGTTCCATGCTCTTTTCAGGAAGGTATCAGCTTTTAGAGATATCTTGCTAACGATCACATTTGCTGTTCAATCAGTTCTTTATCAGCACTCTTAATTATTTTCTACATGGCCAAGTTTAACTTGGTCTAAAAAAAAAAGGGGGGGGTGGGGAAGAAAGAAAATCCCTGCAGTAATGTTTGGGAAAGTGAGTGTTTCTAATAAGTGGCCTCAAAAAGCAAGCTGGAGCAATGCGTACCCGCCCTTCGCCCTGTTCAGCCGTCCCAGTCCCAAGCTCCGCAGCCAGGCTGAGGGTCACCGGCTCAGCCCAGGCAGACCTGGGGGTCGGTCCCGGAGAGACTTTGGGAGCCGTGGGCCACGTCCCAGGCTGCTGCCCTGCACGGGGATGGCAGGAGGGGGTGGGAGCGGGCTGGGAGCAGAGTGGCTGCTGCTGCAGAAAGCCAAGAGCAACTCCAGCAGCCCAGCCCCTGGTTGTGCTAGCTGGTTTTGCTGGCAACCTCATGTTTTTCCAGTCCGAGCCTGGCAGCGTACGTGCACAAAGCAGCCGTAGGTCAGGCTCCCCTCTGTGCAGGCTTTCACTTCGCCATCTGCTTGGCCTGATTTCTGCAGCACGGGGAAGGGATGTCAGAGCAAGATAAAGCAAATCACCCTCGGCAGCTCCAGCTGAGCAGCCGCAGACCTGCTATCGCAGGGCTCAGCTGCTGGGGCAGCTCCTCAGCGGGAGGTTTGGGTGCTGCCTTGGTTACTGGGGCAAAATGGGATGGCAAAGGTGGGTGGCAGAGAGGCAGAGGGCCGGGCTGGTCCGATCCTGGTGGTCTCAGTGGGTACAGATGTCTCCCGCATGGCCTCAGGTAGGAAAGCAGCCTGGTTCAAGGCGTTAATTTGAACTCTGTCAGCAAGGGGATCTCACTGAGTTGAAGCTACAGCAGTTGGTTCTTCTGGTGTAAAATTAAAAAAAAAAAAAAAGATAACTTTGAGCTTCTCAGTGGAAACATCACAGGCAGACAGAGGGAAGCAGGCAGGCTGCTGCTGGCTGCCCTTTCCTTGGGGTGAGGTGACACATGGCCACTTACTGGCAGTGCTGCTCAGCAGAGTGGGACAGAACAGCAAATACAGCCGCGACCTTTCCTTTGGCTCTTCCTGCAAGCCCTGCGGGCAGGGATCCCAGAGCAGCTCTGTTTTCCCACACAAGTATGGAGCTGAGGCAAACCGCTCCGGTGCCTGGCAGAGCCCGAGGACATCCCCGAGCCTCCACGGGCAGCGCAGGGTCTCATTCAAAGAATTCTGTGTCTAACTGGGAGAATTACAGTGGAAATGCTGGTATGCCCCCAGCCTTGTTTTGTGCATAGGTGTTAACAGAAGCAGCTCAATTAGTGGCTTCAAAGTGCAGCTGATTTACAGCCCTCTCACCTCCTGTGCACCCCTTGGGCTGGAGGAAAGCAGAAGAACCTCTCCTGACAGAGCTCTCTTCCTAGGGACAGGCAGGGGACATTGGAAGACAGTTTGGGGGGCCTGGTGGGAGGCTGGTGTCACCGAGGTGTGCTGGGCTGATCTCCCTGGGAGCAGCCTTCGGCCAGATGCTGTCGGAGAGGGCAGGAGGCACTGATGAAGATGCAGAGCTCATCCCCACACACAGCAGAGCCGGTGCTGGGGGATGAACGGGGCCTTCTCTACCCCTCCCAGCTTCGGGGCATGCTGCAGGGCTCCCAGCTGGGGCTGGTGAGACTCACAGCCTGCCCTTTGGGGTTGGGGTTGTTTGGGTTTTTTTCTTTTCCTTTGGGGCTTCATAGCGTCGGAGGGAGAGGTGTCTTTGCTGGAAGGTGCAGAGAAACGAT